TTTCAGTCAAATTTTTGTACTTTTGTTGCTGTTCTTTTTTCTTGTTTTTAAGTCCTAATTCTCATTTTTATGTGCTAGTTTATACTTTTGTGCCAGTAAAATTTACAATATTACTATATTAACTATTTTTATATTTAAGGAGCTATAGATTACTAGAGTTTACAGGAAATACATAATATTTCAAACATTGCCAAAGAAAATGCCTTGCAAAAGTCTCCCAAGTTATATCCTAAAAAACAAGTAGGTATAGAAAGAACCTTAAAAATAACAGAATTCAATTCAACTGAAAACCTGTAAGCAATTTTAAGTTTAAAACCAGATTTTTTACTTTATATAATATTTTTGCAAGTAATATCAATGTGTTAATACTTTATATAGTGCCACCTATCTCAAGGTGTCTATAAAACAGCTCTCAAACCTTATAACTCTAGCATTTTAGAGCTGGAGCAAATCCTAAATATCTGAGCTCTCTTTTCCCATCAAAAAAATGAATATAGTAGCAAATCCAATGCTTCAAATAAATATCTAAAGCATTATCCTGTGGGAAAGCGATTATTTTCTTACATGGCTGCAGAAAAGAGTCCCAAGATCAGTGAGTAACATCTGCAGTGAGACTGAAGCAACTCGTTATAAAGAACTTCCCAAACAATTGGACTGTTCCACAGTGGAAAGAGCTTCCTTGTAGAAATGGAATTTTCTGTCCCTGACAGTTGTCAATTAGCAGCTAGCTGGTAGTTTATTAATATGTAATCAAAAGACTTAAAACATTAATGGCTGTTATTAATTGAACTCCTAAGTCATTCTTGGCATAGTAATAGGATTGTTTATGTACTTTTCAATCTTTACAACTTTTAAGGTATAGAGATTTTGCCACCAATTTACAGATGAGGAAGTTAGGTACAAGGAGGTTAAGTGACTTGCCTATGGCTACACAGAGAATTAGTGGTAGCAGACTCTGAGATTTCTATCTTCTTTTGAATAGAATTTTTTTTCTATCATGAAGACCTGATGACGTGTAGATCCTTTCCTCAGAAAAACACTGAGAAGTATAATTATGATACAACCAAAAAAGTTTTCTAGTTCTCAGAATTCCCTCTGTGGATCTCTTGGAAACCAAGTTGTCTTGGGTTAAGAATGTATGGTTTAACTTTAGGCAATAATTCTTAATATGAAACAGAATTTCCCTAGGCTCCACCCATTGGTGCCAGGTTATTTGGTCTAAATGCTGGCCCCAACATCAGTGAACTCAAAAAGCTTCCTAGGTTCCTATTATAAAGACAGGATTGAGCACCACTGGTTTAGTTAGCTTGGATGACCTATGAAGTCCATTCCAACTCTCTCATATTCAAATATAGGAACATTCAAAAGCAAATCCAATCTTTCTCATCTTTCATATCTAGTACTTTGGTTTTGTGCCAATGGGTGAGTCGTGGAAGCACACATTCACCTATCACCACACCTGCCAGCAAGAGGTCTGCATAAATGCATTATGTTTGGGTGCTTCCTTTGGTTTCTATGGACTCTTTCCTTACTTTTCAATTGAGTTCAATTCTACCAATATCTATTGGAAAGCTATTAAGCACAATAAAACGGGATGCGACCTGCAAGTAGGACACAAATATGAGCAACAGGCATTCCCTGCTATTATAAAAGTCAAATGCAGTGATTGCTGCCTCCTATGCTTTCCTATTTTAAAATTCATAGTTTTTTTTCCATAAAATAACTGGAGCTTTTAGTGTTGGCAAAACTAGGCAGCTACATGCAAGAAAATAAAACTGGATTATTGTCTAACCCCATACACAAAAGTAAACTCAAAATGGATCAAAGACCTGAATGTAAGTCATGAAACCATAAAACTCTTAGAAGAAAACATAGGCAAATTATCTTGAATATAAACACGAGCAACTTTTTCCTGAACACATCTCCTCGGGCAAGGGAAACAAAATCAAAAATTAACAAATGAAACTACATCATGCTAAAAAGCTTCTGTGCAGCAAAGGACACCATCAGCAGAACAAAAGGACATCCTACAGTATGGGAGAATATATTTGTAAATGACATATCTGACAAGGGATTAGCATCCAAAATATAAAAAGAACTCACAGGCCTCAACACCCAAAAAGCAAATAACCTGATTAAAAAATGGTCAGTGGATCTGAACAGACACTTCTCTAAAGAAGAAATTCAGATGGCCAACAGGCACATGAAAAGATGCTCCACCTCGCTAATTATCAGGGAAATGCAAATTAAAACCACAATGAGTTATCACCTCACACAAGTTAGGATGACCACCATCCAAAAGACAAACAACAACAAGTGCTGGTGAGGACGTGGAGAAAAGGGGAACCCTCCTACACTGCTGGTGGGAATGTAAGCTAGTTCAACCATTGTAGAAAGCAGTATGGAGTTCCTCAAAAAACCAAAAATAGAAATACCATTTGATCCAGGAATTCCACACCTAGGAATTTACCCTAAGAATGCAGGAGCCCAGTTTGTAAAAGACATATGCACCCTTATGTTTACCACAGCACTATTTAAGATAGCCAAGAAATGGAAGCAATCTAAGTGTGCATCAGTAGGTGAATGGATAAAGAAGAGGTGGTACATATACACAACGGAATATTATTCAACCATAAGAAAAGAAATCCTACCATTTGTGACAACATGAATGGAGCTAGAGGGTATTATTCTCAGTGAAATAAGCCAGGTGGAGAAAGACAAGTACCAAATGATTTCACTCATCTGTGGAGCATAAGAACAAAGCAAAAACTGAAGAAACAAAATAGCAACAGACTCACTGAACCCAAGAATGGACTAACAGTTACCAAAGGGAAAGGGACTGAGGTGTGGGGGGTGGAGAGGGAGGGAGAAGGGGAGTAAAGGGCATTATGATTAGCACACATAATGTGGGGGGGGGGCAAGGGGAAGGCAGTATAGCACAGAGAAGACAAGTAGTGACTCTATAGCATCTTACTACGCTGATGGACAAGTGACTGTAATGGGGTATGTGGTGGGAACTTGATAATGGGGGTTATCTAGTAACCACAGGTTGCTCATGTAATTGTATATTAATGATCCAAAATAAAAAAATAACCAGCTTGTATTCAGCTGTGTTATTGATGGTCTTTCTTGAGATGGTACAAAATAAAAGTTGGACATAAGATTAGGCTCATTTGCTGCAAGATGTTGCTTTTTTATGTAAGAGTCTGGTTGTAATCAGTTTGAGGATGATATGGTGTCTGCACAGTGTCATGGACCCAAGCACCTCTTATCTGATTACTGTACTAGTTTTACTTGATTGCCATCATCAAAACATGACATCCATTTTTTTGATCTGAGATGTCTGGTCCTGTTATCACCATCCCATCTGCGTTATAGCTAGGTTCTCAAGAAAGGGGAAGGCAGGGTCCTCATCCTTAAGAGAGTGACTTGAAAATTGTGCAATTCACATCTGTTTATATCCCAATGACCAGGATTTAGTGTGTGGACACATCTAATTTCAAGGAGTCTGGGATTTGGTCCTCTGAGTAATTGAATATCTAGATGGTTCCATTGTTCAGTTTTCCAGTCATAAACCTTTTTTGTCATTTTTCCACTGCCTTCTTTTTAAAATCTCTGAAAATCCATATTTGAATAAGTATTTATAAGCAAATATACAGTCATCAAATGATAGTGATAGGAAAACAAAAAATGAACATCATAGAATCATTTGTAAAACTCAGCAGCTGTTCGATAAACACTTTAAACTTGTAGCATTCTTCAACTTCTGACTTTTAGTCATGTGATTTCTGCTAATTGGCTATGTGATTTCAGATATGTCACTTGCATTAGTTTCTTTATCTGGAAAAGAGAATGATATTGTCTAACTCTTAAAGTTCTCATGATTAAATGAATTTATAGATGTACAAGTGTTTTTGAAAACTGGCAATCAGGATAAAGATACACAGTGGGTGGTAATGTTTTAGTTATTACATACTGCGTGATGCCTTGTATCGAGGCACAGCCTTCCACTGACAGAATCCTGAGGTATGCTTGTTCTGGAGCAGTTACCTTGGTCCTATTTCCAGACTCCAGGGACAGCCTGGTGCTCCACTGCCTCCACCAGAATCTTCCAGCTGGGGTTGGGTTCCCTGGCTACCTGCAGATCCAGAAGGCAGGTCAGGTCACTATCTATATTTCTTAACTGCCTGTTAAGCAAGCATGGAGCCCTTTTCGTTTTTCTTGGTTTTTCTAATACTAATATTCATTGGTGGTATTTATCAACTAAAATCTAGAATTATAATTTTCCAAAGCTCATACAACAAAGGTCTCTGTACCTTCACTGAATTGCAAATTCATGTCCTACTCTGAGTTTTCATGTCTTCAATTTTGTATCCATTCATTTGCTCATTCATTCACTCATTCATCAAACATTTATTAAGGCACTACTATGTCCCAGGCTCTGGGGATCAAAAGTGCTAAGGTCCAGTTTGTTGAGGAGAACTAAACATAATCAGTGTGCCTGGCATTTAGTAGGCTTTCAGTAGATGCTTGTTGTCACTTCCTCTCTGTTGCTCAGTTCACCTACTAATGCATCTTTGACCATTGTGAATGTGACCAAAAGAGATGGACAGTGTTGTTTGCTCAGAACATCTACAGCACAGATGTGTGGGCTTCACACTGATTCCATCAGAATAGGCAGAAATTTTAAACATTTTTGTTCTGCTTCCCAGCCCCACCTTCATATACAGACCATGATGATAGAGTATCTTCCGCTTTTATCGTCTTCTGCTTCCTTGACCCTTCCTTCACTGAAGCATTTTAGATGATGTAAAGCTAAATAGGGAAGCATGGGGAACAGGATAGAAATCATCCTAACTTCCTTTTGCCACATCTCCTAAATTCTCAAAAGACATTCTTGGAGTGTTATTGTGTTGATAACAGTACACCAATTTTAATGTCTTTTCTTCTTGTTACCTTTCTCCTCTTTGATATTCATCTAATTTTCTTTCCTTTTGTAGGCTATCAGCCAGATGAAACAGCAAAAATACTCGACGAAAGTCTCCTTTGGTTTACAGGAAGTCCCTTTTGCACCAGCTCCGCCTTACCATTCCACAGATGCTGACTTCACAGGCTATGGTATGATGCTTCCTCTGAGCAGAATTGAATTGACCCATCAAACATTAGAGAAGGAGGGGGTTGAGGTGTCCTGAGATGAGCACTGGACTAGGAATCTGGAAGCCTGGCTTTGTATCTCTCTGCCAGCTCCTTAGCTTTAGGACTTGGGCTGGTCACTATATCCTACGTCATTCTTCTCATCTCCACCATTGGGACTGCTTATTGGTTATTGAAGTAAAAGTACTAGAACCAAAAAGGCCCTCAGTAAATGCTTTGAATCTGAGGCTTAGGTATTATTCTCTGATCTCTCCAAAAGATTGTGCTTATTTAATTCATGAAAAATCATATTGAACCAAATGGTTAGCCTTGCATATGTTATTATAAGCTGTTTGAAGACTATTAATATTTTTAGTGCTTAAAGAAATTGGTGTTCACATTCTCTTTGAATTCTTGGCTGCAATTATGCTGACTGATATTTGAAAATAGGACTTCAAAATGAATAATGAGTATTTCCACTTTGCTTTTATGCAATATATGTCAGTTAAAAAAAAGTGGACTATTTAAAACATCGTGCTCGGCAATGGCAAAACATAACCCTGTATGAATTTAGCAGGCCTGACACCTTTATGGTGTTTGTCTTTTCATATTTTTTCTTAAATATGGACTACAAAATTTAGCAAGCAGGTATTATTCTAAAACACTGGATTTTTACTAAAATTCTTGGTGAATATGGTCAGCAAAGATCCATAGGTCAAATTTGGAACACTGTCTGTTTTTGTAGGTCTATAAGCTAAAGATGGTTTTCACATTTTTAAAAGGTTGAAAAAGTCAAAAGAATATTTTACGAAAATTATATGAAATTCAGATTTCATCATCCATAAATAAAATTTTATTGGAATACTCATTTGTTACATACTGTCTATGGCTACTTTCACCCTATAATGACAGAGTTGAGTAGTTACAATAGAGACCATATGGCCTACAAAGCTCAAAATATACCTGGCCTTTTACCGAGAAAGTTTGCCGACCCTAATATAGATCAATTGAGTCGTGATAATATATATCACATGTTTGTATCTTGATAACAGAAATTACTCATCCTATAATTTAGTCTGTGGAAATTGTATTCATTTAGTCATCTGCTCACCAAACATTTATTGGGGACTTGGTAATGAGTCAGACTTTGGGCCAGGTTCTATAAGAGAAATAAATACCCAAACTGACTCAGGACTAGCTAGGGTGAGGTAGAAGTGGACGAGGGAAAGAAATGCCATCTTCAGTGTCTCTTACTGTGTGTTTTCTCTCTTACTCAAGAGACTACCCTAGTCATTTACAAAAGGAGTACAGTTTTTAAAGCATCCATGAAATTATGACACTGTTGTACACTGTTTTTATTATAAATTAATGGAGAATGGAGATGCTGCAGAAGATCTAAGAGTCAAATTAGGTTTACAGTTTAATATTCTACTTCTCATATGGCATTTTTTATTGTTACTGAGGTTGTGTCTCTAAATATCTCACTCCTAACTCAGACGGAGGCCATTAGATTAATAAATTCCATGTGGTCAAGAGCAGCAACTATTATGAATGCTACAATATGTTAGATCCTGGGCTGGACATAGCCACATTGTTCATTTAATTCCTCTAACAGCCAATTAGATCGTGGTTACATGCATTTTTCTAAGGAATGAGCCTCAGTTTCAACCACATGTTAATTTCCATCTTGGAAATTCAGGTCTGCTTTTATGCCATTCCAAAACCTGTGTGTCCTTTTGTCACAGAGGCACGTTCATTGCTTAGAGTAGAACCCCCATCACACACACTTGCTTATCTAGAGCTCATTTCCATTTGCTTGATACCAAGGATTAGCAAACTTTTTCTGTAAAGAACCAGAGAGTAAATACTTAAAGCTTATAGGCCATGTGGTCTCTGTTGTAGCTACTCAACTTTGCTGTTGTAGTGTGACAGCCAGTCATGGACTAGGTATAACTGAATTAGCAGGTCTGTGTTCCATTGCAACTTTATTTATGGACATTGAAATTTGAATTTCCTATAATTTTCACTTGTCATGAAATATGTTTCTTTGGATTTTTTTTCAGCCTTTTGAAAATGTAAAAACCATTCTAAGTCCACAGGCCATAGTCCGCTGACCCTTGCTTGTACAGAAGTTGAATGATCTTTATGGACATCAACTTGGCCCTTATGCATTATTTGCAGCTGACCACCAGATGGAGCCCTCTATTATCAGCCACTACTAAATTATATCATAATGTAAAAATCCACACTCGTGATGATCAAATTTAGTTATCAAAACATGTGACATTTTTTGGAGACTATTAGTTGCATAAAAGTCCCTGGGAAGTAATACTGTGAACATCTTGATTTTTTCAATGGCTTTGCTTCAGTCATCTGGAGAATGCACATATGTAGCACTATGCCAGAAAAATAAATACTGTTAAACATCTTTTCATAGCCTGTAAATTTTTCCTCCCACTTTTTAGAAAAACCCTGTCTAAAACAATGGAGTTTTTTTTAGAAGTAAACCTTTATAAAACAGCAATATAACTCTTTTAGCAAGTTTTTCTTTTATGGACCCAGCAATTAATTTTGAGTGTCATGTTCGTAACATATTTTTTTTTACTATGTATATATTTGGGGATAATTTTTAGGTAATTATTATTTCAGTTCCATCATATTTTATTGATTGAATCCTTTATACTTGTTAATTCATATGATAAGCTTTAACTAAAAGTATTAAAGTACTATTTCTTAATTAGTATCTTATAACTGTAACTCAGAATCTTGTCATACCAGTCTTTATTCTCATTATAACATATGTCTGTATGCACGTAATCATTTAATCATCTTAAATTTTTCCATACCAGTTTTCAAGCTGTATTTTAACAACAAATTTAAAGTATAACTAAGGTGGATGATTGAGTGGGAGAGTAGTTTTAATTTCTAAAGTGTCATAGGGATGTTATGCTTCATCCCAAGTGAATGCCAGTAAGGATCCTGCTTTTTCTTTCATGGTGCTTGGCAGGCAAAGAGTGAAATGATAAACATATGCAAGCCCTGCACTCCCCAGGAATGGAGTGTGCAAGCTGAGCTGCATCTCCCACTTGCCAGTCATTCCATGTTCAATCCTCATCCAGGTGGTCTCCAGGCTCCTCTGTCAGTGGACCCTGCCACGTGTCCCATTGTTCCAGGCCAGGAAATGATCATAGAAATATCCAAGGGACGCTCAGGGCTCGGTCTGAGCATTGTGGGAGGAAAAGACACACCCTTGGTAAGTTTCTAGAAGTGAAATATATCCATTGTCACAGTTTCTGGTTGATCCTCATTAAGGTCCTTTTCAGAGCATGGGGAAGAAGCATAATTATAAATAGATAATGCATCAATACTCTGGCCAGCTTTCAAGTTTTACTCAGTGTTTAATTTTCACCAGGATTTTCTCTATCTAAAATGTTGGGTAATTTTTTTAAATAAATGCTTATTAGACCAACAATATCATAGCAGCATTTAGAAATATTATAACAGGATTTAGGACAGTGTCTGCCACATACTAAGTGTAAAATAAGTATGAACTATTGTTATTATAATCATCATCATCATTATTTAATGGAATTCTAGAAAAAGGTGTACATTGATTATTCCAGCCCAATAATTTAAGCTTTGCTTTGTTCTGACCATGTTCATGTTGATTCATATTTTTTTTAACACTTGATCTAGGATGTTAGTTTTTGTTTGGATGATGGATCTTTGATTATTCAGTATGATTTGTCACTAATCAACAGCGCTATTAAAACATAAAACTTCTGGGTCTTGATTTACAAAAATGTGATTATTCAATACATACATATTTGAATAGGTAATACACATTATACAAGGTTAAATTGACACAGAAAGATAAAAAGTGAGAGATAAGTCTCCCTCCAACCCTTTTGCCCAAGCCCTGCCTCCAACCCTACTGGCAACACAAACCAAGTCCTCTCCCTAGAGACAATCATAATTATTATTATTATTATTATTTTGGTATTGTTAATGTACAATTACTTGAATAACATTATGGTTACTAGACTCCCTCTATTATCAAGTCCCCCCCACATACCCTATTACAGTCACTGTCCATCAGCATAGTAAGATGCTATAGAATCAGTACTTGTCTTCTCTGTATATACTGCCTTTCCTGGAGACAATCATGATTTTTAATGAATATGTTTTTAAATGAATATTTTGGTATTTCTTTTGCTCATCTTACTTAGTAAAGAATAAATTGTATATGCCAGATTTACAGGTAAAACAAGTATAATACCAATAAAACTAGTCTTTTGGTAGGAATGTAATGTTCCTGTGTTAGTGCTGTTGGAAGGTGGAGAGATCCTATTATATTTTTTCTGTAATAAATACTAGTCCCCTAAAACCCCAGGCACCTCAAAAACAGCATATGCCGCAGAAACCTGGGCCTTCTCCATATTTCCCAGTCATGGCCCTTCTCCCCCCTACTATCCTACCTGATCTAGACAACCCTGGTGTTTAGTTCATCCCTGCTAGTGACAACCTAAACCTGGGTGTGCTCAGAGGCTGGTGTTTATTTATTAAAGGATTTTAACTCCTTCAGCTTGATTAAAGGTATTGTTAAAACTTTTCTCCAGAGTTCAGGATAATTTACTTCCTTAATTATTCTCCCTGGGCCTGTGCAGACAGAAACTGCCATGTGTGGCTTCCTGCGTATGACACTATGAGGGTTTTCATCAGCTCAGTTGGAACGGGGAGTGCCTGGAGTTAACTATGTCGGCAGCCAGTTTTAGCTCTCAGCCCTTTCATGGGGACGGATTTAAATACAATTTAAAAATACAGCGTAGGCCAAATCACTTGAAGGGTAACTTCTAAGGAAGAGTTTGCCCCTTTCCTCAAAAATAAAAAGTGAAAGGTTAATATTCCAAGCCAGATAACAACAAACGTAGAAAAAGTTCTGGGTTCTCAGGAGGCAGATACATATCTATGTTATACTTAAGGCCGCTGAGGTCTGAATCTCCTGCCTGACCCTGCACATTGGGTGCATCTCCCCTTCAGGGCCCATTTTCTCATTTTCCCCCAAAGATGTTCCTGAATATTAAATAAGTTGAATTTGCACAAATCTATACTTGAAATGAACCAGAAAACATTTTGAAGAAATTCTGTAGTGAATTCTTTCATAAAGGAAAAGTAACCCTCTGATTAATTTTTTTGGAAATATACGTCTCTTTATACTGCTTGAAATAAGGCAGAACTGTATTTCCCATAGGAAATTAAGGGACTTTAATCAGCATGTCTGGCCTCGCTGAATGAATTTATGTTTTTCTTTGTGCTGGTGGTGGTTTGCTTTTGTTGTTATCAGTGTGATTTTGCTTTGTGTGGGTTGGTTAGAAAACCTGAGTGCATGCCCACGCTGCTGTTGGTTCTTCATGCTGCATTAGATTGCACTACTGGCCACTAGCGTGAGGGCTTCCACTGCTCAACATTGCCTCCTGCCTCCTGGGTCTGAGACTGTTGGCCAAATATTATGCCCTGCTTCTCTTGCCACCATGAAGCAGCCAAAAAAAATTCTCAAAGAGCATCTCAAGATTCATAATATATAGTTCTGCTTTTTGAGACTATAAATCCAATTTTCCTTGGGAGGATAAGCACCACTTAAAAATGAGAAATGGGACACAGCTTTTATTTCATAACCTCAGGTACCTCATGAAAAGCCATAAGTTAGACCCATGAGTGATGTAAGGCACATTGTTTTGGTAAGGTTGAGCAGCAAGGGGTGGAAGGGGCTTTTACAAATAAAATCATTGTCTGCCACAATGAAGATCTTCCTTTTTCCTTTCTTTTTCCCCTCCAAGTTTTGACATGTCACAGGCATCTTCTTTGACACTCCAGGTCACATTATCCAATCAGGTTGTGGGACTGCAGCCAGCCAACAGGAAGCTGTCAAAGATGAGAGTATATAAAAGGAAATTGTGGACAGTGCTGAGACCCACTGTCCAACGTACCTTTGCACGTGCCCTTGCACATTTGATTATGTGATATAACCATCGGCTCTGGTGCAAGGAAAGAGCACATTCTGAGTACTGGTGACCCATCTTAAGCATCTGCTCCAACCCCCACAGTTAGGGTTTCTGTGCTTTCTCTGTTGTGTGTCCAACAGATATTTTTGCCATCTTTAGAGGAATTAAGCCTCTGGAACTTGGTCTTGACACCATATTAGTCCTAACTGCTTTTCTCTGGAGCCACGACAGACGGTTTCTGAGATCACAGAGAAAGATCTCACTTCTTATCTCACTGCATTTGCAGCCAGCCATCTAAAGAAACTTTTTAGAACACCAAGATAATGATGAGGGTGAACCTCTTGGGGAGGTTTGTGTGCATACCTGGACCCAGTCCTCAATGACTTCTGTCTCTGTTGTTTTCATCTTGTGATGTGCTCCCAGGTCTGCCTCTGGTGACTATGGCTCCTCTGGGATAGGCTGTATATGTTTGCCCAAAGGCTGCCCTTTGCTGGCTGCTAAAGATGCAAAATTGTAATAACTCTATCCTCAAAGAGTTTACATTTTCATTCAAGCTGATACCCCTGACTGTAATGTTTTAATATATGGGATCAGCCAATGAAGAAACATAATAGGGACTATTAAATAAGGAATTTGTCTTAAAAGTAAAAAAAGAGCCGTGTTACACTTTCTAGATTTAATTAATGTGGGCCCGGTTTTACATGTTTTTCATAAGCCAGTTTTAGTCCATTCAAGCTGCTATGACAAAATACCAGAGACTGGATGGCTCACAAACAACAGAAATTTATTTCTCACAGTTGTGGTGACTGGAAGTCCAAGATCTGCTTGGTCAGATGAAGGCCCACTTCTAGGCTGTAGGCTTCTTATAACCTCCCATGGTTAAAGGAGCAGGGGACCTCTATGGGGCCTCTTTTATAAGGGCAGTAATCCCATTCATGAGGACTCCACCTTCGTGAGCTAATAACCTCCCAAAGGTCGCACCTCCTAATACCACTGCATTGGGCGTTAGGATTCCGACATAGGAATTTGAGGGAGACACACAGTCAGAAAACTAGATAAGGTACACTGTATAAAAGAGGTAGTATACTCATATATTTTTATTTCCTTCCATCTATCTACCACCCATCCTTTCAATCTGTCTTCCCCCAACCCTTTATGGTCTTGGAGTTGTAATTTACATGAAATCTTACGGCTCAGAGGACCTGCATATTCTGCCAAATAAGAGCATGAGGGCTCTTACCTCTTAGGGTGCTTGCACCGTATTCCTTAAGACTCTTCCTGGTTCCCTTGATACCCCCTTCTCAGAAGTGTCTGCTTGCTGATTGGAAGTGTTATCTCCAGTAGCCTCAGACGAAGTAAAATATAATTCTCTAAGTGTCATTTATTGGGGTTATTTTATTATCAGCCTTGGGAATTCTAGAGAAGAGAAGAAAAACTTAAGAAATAAATCTTTTATTTTAGATCATTGAGACTTGAAATGTTCTTGGGATTGAACAAATGAAATAGAGAAAGAGTGAGGACAGGTTCTGGAGGACCCTTACTCTGCATGTCCCTTCCTCTGGGTACCATTGCCTTCTGTCCTGGACAGGAGTCAGTGTTTCCTGTCAACCAAACGGGCAGCATAGCAATGCTGATTATTAGCTCCCTTCATCTGAGTGTCTTTGTATGTTAACTACATGCTTAGGAACATGCCTTTGTTTCCAGATGAATACATACTTGTTTTTCAACATGAATTTTTTCTAAAGTGACTTAGACACTGTTCTTAATACATAATGAATATGTCACATCTCATTTAATCCTTACAACAACCCTGTAGGACAGGTCGTAGCACTATCCCCATTGTACAGATGAGGAAACTGAGATACAAGTCAGGCCACTTCTCCAATGACATAATCTCTAGCAGTTGGTCCAGTTGGCATTTAGCCAGACAGTCTGACTCCAAAGCCTCATTATATGGGCCCCTTTTCTAGTGCTATCACGGCATGTCCTCAGCATTCACCTGTAAAAGGGAGGACTCCATCTCACCCACCAGACCCAGAGCTCCTTGACAATAGACCTGTTTTATCTTATTTTGTGTTTTTAGTACTCTAACAGTGCCTCACACACTCAAAAAATATGACTTTCTGCCCAGTCTCATTGTACCACTCTGAATGCCAGCCGTGCTGGCCTCATTCAGTCCTTCAGTGAGTCTCGTCCTCACCTGATGCAAGGCGTTTGCATGTGCTATTAGATCTGTCTGGAGTGCTTCTCT